TGCAGTCGATGGATTGAATTTTCCGTCTGCACGTTGCCATGCGCGCGCGTGTGTGTGTGTGTGCAGTTCGTTGAATGGTCATTTATTTTTTTAGTTTGGGAAGAACGAAGAAGCTGATGGAATTTTTTTGGCTAGGTTTTGCGGTTGTTTCGGTGATGCGAGAAGGACATGTGCTAGGCTATAGTCTGAGTGGAGTTATTTGGACGATGAACGTCGCTATAGTCTGAGCGAAACTATTTGGACGGTGAGGGTCTCTATAGTTTGAGTGGAATTATTTGGACGACGAAGCTCGGTATAGTCTGAGTGGAATTATTTGGACGGCGAAGGTCGCTATAGTCTGAGCGAAACTATTTGGACGGTGAGGGTCTCTATAGTTTGAGTGGAATTATTTGAACGACGAAGCTCGGTATAGTCTGAGTGGAATTATTTGGACGGCGAAGGTCGCTATAGTCTGAGTGAAATTATTTGGACGATGAAGGTCGCTATAGTGTGACTAGAATTATTTGCACGGTGAAAATCGCTAAGCAGCTACCCCAGCCACTCTATCGCCTCTGGAGAATTTTCTACCGCGTTTCACCTCTAGAATAGTCAATCTCCGTTAAGAGTGAAATACAGAGAAATCGACGAGACAATAGAACGGCGAAAAACGAGATCAATTCCGGTATTGTTTCTAGTCCGATATGAACGAGTTGACGTGGAATAATTCCATTATCAATAATCTACGTACTTTCCTGTTATCGGACTATCGACGAAAATTCTTTCCCAGCTGTTTAATTAAATCACCGCGTTAATCCTCGTTAAATTGTCCGAATAAATCTGTACCGAGCACTATGGAAACTCGATTGACTCGACGAAATAGTTGTCGGGGAATTGTCCAGCCCCGACAATCCGAAACGTCATTCAAGACAATGAACGGAAGTTGAACGATCGTTCAGAGGGACAAAAAACCGTGGGGCGTTTTTTCGATTAATTAAGTCCGTTCGGTCGAAAAATCCATCGTCGCGAGCACCAGGGGCGGTGGAAGAGGCGGGCAGGGGACGGGGATGGAGTCGAATGAGCGCGTTAAGGGGTCGTTTATTCGCGTTCGACGAGATAACGAGAAAAAAATGGAACGGGCAGGTGGAAGAGGACGAAATCGAAATAAAGTTCGCTAATTTGTCGTGGTCCGCGGCGGTCGTTAAGCGGCAGTTTTCGCGCGTACGCGATGCATCACGGTCGTCCGGCGTCTCTGCGTTTTCGGCTCGTACATCAGCCAAGACAGCGGGTGAATTTAACGCGACGGTAAATAGAACGATAAACAAAAATAAGAACGACACGCGGGCCACGGTGCACGCTTAATTTTACTGCCTCCAATTTATTCTGACGACTTTCATCTCGTCTCTCCTCTTTGCCCCGTTTCTACCGCTCCGCTGTTTTGTTCTCCTCCTCTCCTGGCCGGCGAGAGGGGCGAGTTTTAATGTTTCACGGAGAAGCGCTGCGATTTCACGCTGGCAATTTATTCATTTTTATTATCCTTCCCATTTCTCTCTCTCTCGAGCAGTTGAATCATTTTTTAAATCTTTATTTGTCCTCCTTTTCGGGGGAATCTATTTTCGTTCGGTGCTTTTGCGAACGCACGGGTCTCTTCGAGTGAATATAATTCACGGGATTTTTTGCAGCTATTTCGTTATCAATTACGAATAATTGATCGCACGATATTCGAGTCTCTCGTTGAGCCAAATATTCCATCAAACGACGCACGAAACGTGCAAATATTCCAAGACACCCGGTGTACACGAGACACGGCCAGGCTCCGCATCGAGGAGCCTTTGGATGCTCAAGTCAAAGGAAATTCCGTCTGCGCCAGAAACGGGCGGAACGCGGCGTTCGCGCTCTCTCGCGTGGCCGTCGAAAAAATACTACGGCAGCGGGACGAAAGTGTACCGAGTCGCGGGGCAAACAATCGCGTTCGGTCAAGGTAAATAAACCGAACTCCCCGGAGGATTTCCGCCCTCCCTATCGTCTCTCGAAAAAGCTCAAGGGAGCGAGAGAAACGAGCGGAGGGAGGAGCCCGGAGGAGAAGAAATAAGAGGGAAGAGGCAGAGAGAGGCTCGAAGTAATCCAAGGAAACGGCGTAGCAAAAGGAGAGTCTGCCCTCTTTCGAGGTCCTTTTTGCCACGAAGAGACGAAACCGCCTCTGGCTGGCATTCCTTGCACGTTGTTTCGCTAATTGTGACTCCGTCGCCGGCTTTGTTTCGTCCATATTTCCGCGGTGAATGAGAATTTTTACTCGACCTCCTGCCATCCTCCTCCTTTTCCAGCCCCTCTCTCCTCTTTCTTTTTTTTTCCCTCCATCTTCTCGTTTCCTTACACTACCAGTACCTAGCCTCCCCCCTCTTGCATCGGGCTTTTCTTGCTTTGTCTGGGCGCGCGCGCGCCAAATTGGGGACATTTTCCACGCCACGGCGAACGCTCGTGAAATTAAAGTGGCTGCGCTCGCCTGTCTCCTCTACCTCTGTCTTCGTCTCGCGTCGTTGCAAACGCGGCCTTCTCGCGACGGAAACGTCCCTCGCGTGGCGGAGATTTATGACGAG